TCCAACTACAATGAAAAATATATTTAAAAAAAAAAAAAACTGAACCCGGGGCTGGGGATGTGGCTCAAGCGATAACGTGCTCGCCTGGCATGCGCAGGGTGCTGGGTTCGATCCTCAGCACCACATAAAATAAAGATGTTGTGTCCACCGAAAACTGAAAAATAAATATTTTTAAAAATTCTCTCTCTCTTAAAAAGAAAAAAAAAAAACTGAACTCAAAAGCACCTTTATGGAATTGGGGCTGTGGCTCAGTGGTAGAGCACTTGCCTAGCATGTGTGAGGCACTGGGTTCAATTCTCAGCACTGATATAAATAAATAAGAAAGCGGTCCACTGACAACTAAAAAAAATTTAAAAATTTTTTTAAAAGAGCACCTTTATGGAAAATAGTGAGTTTAGAAATTAACTACTTAATAGTCTTTGTAGATTTCAAACGCATTGAAAAATTTGGTACCCCTAGATTCTTTTAATCAAACCTATATATTTATATGGAACATATTACATGCAATTCTACCAATGGTAGATTCATTTTTGGTTTACAACTAATCTGCTCTTAAAAAAACAAATAACATAAATGTAGTTTTTCAATTAAAAAGTTTAATTCAAAAAGTAACATCAAGCTCAGTAAATTTGTTTTTTTAAAGTGTTTTTCTCCCAAAACATGCCTTCAAACAAATGGGAATTTAAGCACTGGAGACAGGAAAAGAGAGAGGGTGTGCAGGACAATGTCCAAGCAGGTATTATAGAGAAAGTGCCCCAAATGAAAAGTTCCAGGCCAACAGAGCAGCAGAAGGGCAAAGGACAAATAAGAAGGATGAGTGTTTTAGTCTGAAGAGGAAAGTCACAGAAACAAAAAAATTATTCTTTGAAATTTTGCTTGCTCACCCTATCCTCTTAACGTTGGGCTACATATCTTAACCGTCTAGTCACACCATTAATGTCTTTTTCTCCCCAGCTATTAACTATTTTAAAAATATGCCTTGCCAACTAGCAGTAACAAAACAGTTTCGAGAAAGGGAAGAGAGTTCAGAGAAAAAAGGTGTACATGAGGGGCTGGGGTTGTGGCTCAGCAGTAGAGTGCTCGCCTAGCATGTATGGGATCCTGGGTTCGATCCTCAGCACCACATAAAAATAAAATAAAAGCATTGTGTCCAACTATAACTAAAACTAAATATTTTTTTAAAAAGGAGTACAGTAATTCTATTCTCCATTTTTAAGTAAATATATAGAACTACAAGGTTCAATTACACTTAGATTAGATAATCACAAACTCTTGGTATAGAAAGACCTTGGAGAAATTCATAAGTTTTCACTCAAAGAGGATATAAGAGTTCATTAAGATCTTTGCTCAGGGCCGGGGATGTGGCTCAAGCGGTAGCGCGCTCGCCTGGCATGCGTGCGGCCCGGGTTTGATCCTCAGCACCACATATCAACAAAGATGTTGTGTCTGCCGAGAACTAGAAAATAAATATTTAAAAAAAAAAAAAAAAGAAAAAGATCTTTGCTCAGGGGGCTGGGGATATAGCTCAGTGGCAGAGCATTTGCTTAGCATGTGTAAGACACTGGGTTGAATCCTTAGCATTGCATAAAAAACGAAACAAAGGCATGCTGTCCATCTACAACTACCAATAATAATAATAATAATAATAATAATAATAATAATAATAATAATAATAATAATATCTTTGCTCAATCAACTAGCTCCTGCTCAAAAGTGAGGAAGCAGAAACAGTATTTATGTTTTAGAATCACACACAGGTATGAATTCATAGAAGTTATGGTATACTAATCAGCTATAAAAAGAAATGAGGTATTCACACAACTTGGAGGAATCCATGGAGAACTACATTGAATTGGGGGAGAAAAAAGTCAATCCCCAAAAATAAAAAATCATACATATTGTATGATTGCCTTAACATAACTTCATTCTTGGAATGACAAGAATATAGAAATGTAGAACAGATTAATGTCAAGGAGGAAAGAGAGATGGAGCCAAAAGGAAGTTAGGTGTAGCAATAAAAGACGAATACTCTTGTTGGAAGTATTTTGTATTTTGATTGTAGTGGTAGGTACACAAATCTATACATATGGAAATATATACATATCCACCAGTTAGTTCTCACTCCCATACACACTCAACTGAATATTAGTAAAAGTATGGTAGAATGTATCAAAAGCGATATTCTATTCTAACATTGTAATATGGTTCTGTATAATGTTTGGAGAATCCATTTAAGGGTTCTTTTCATTCTTTCTTTCCCCCCACTTTTTTTCAGGGTGTAGGGGTGACTAGGGATTGAACCCAGAGGCACTCTACCACTAAGCTACATATTTTATATATTTTATTTAGCCTGTCTGGTCTATGAAGCTGCCTTCCTTCTCCTAATTTCAGAGCCCGTTTCTTTCCTTACTTCCAACGTCTTATTTGCCTAAGTTGACATTTGGCTCCTATTATCTGAACCTAAAGAACCCCTTCAAACAATAAGCATACAAAAAATTACCTAGTTTTTTAAAAATTTTTTTCTGGTTGTATCTTTATTTTATTCATTTATTTTTATGTGGAGGTAAGGATCAAACCCAGTGCTTCACATGTGCCAGGCAAGTGCTCCTACCACTGAGTCACAACCCAGCCCAAATTACCTACTTTTTAATTAGGACTTCTGCTACAACCTAAGAAAGCTTTCTTTCAGGGCTGAGGTTGGCTCAGTGGTGGAGTGCTTGCCTAAAAAAATAAACAAATAAAAAATAAAGATATTTTGTTTACATACAACTAAAAAATTTTAAAAAAGAAAGCTTTCTTTCATAAACTGTTGTTCAAAATCAAATAGGTTCTTATAAAGGAACTTAATAGAGTACAAATTTAACTAGAGTTTAAGAGTTTAATTAAGCTACAAGCCAACTAACTCTAAGCCAAGCATGCCATGTTCAAGCGATATGAAAATACATGAATCAATCAACAAGTACATGAAAAAATGCTCACCATCTCTAGCAGTCAGAGAAATGCAAATCAAAACCACCCTAAGATACTATCTCACTCCAGTAAGATTGGCAGCCATTACGAAGTCAAACAACAACAAGTGCTGACGAGAATGTAGGGAAAAGGGTACTCTTGTACATTGCTGGTGGGACTGCAAATTGGTGCAGCAAATTTGGAAAGCAGTATGGAGATTCCTGGGAAAGTGGGAATGGAACCACCATTTGACCCAGCTATTGCCCTTCTCGGACTATTCCCTGAAGACCTTAAAAGAGTGTAGTACTACAGGGATAGTACTACATGGATGCCACATCCATGTTCATAGCAGCACAATTTACAATAGCTAGACTGTGGAACCAACCCAGATGCCCTTCAATAGATGAATGGATAAAAAAAAATGTGGCATTTATACCCAGTGGAGTATTACGCAGCACTAAAAAATAACAAAATCATGGAATTTGCAGGGAAATGGATGGCATTAGAGCAGATTATGCTAAGTGAAGCTAGCCAATCCCTAAAAAACAAATGCCAAATGTCTTCTTTGATATAATGAGAGCAACTAAGAACAGAGTAGGGAGGAAGTGCAGGAGGAAAAGATTAACATTAAACAGAGACATGAGGTGGGAGGGAAAGGGAGAGAAAAGGGAAATTGCATGGAAATGGAAGGAGACCCTCATTGTTATACAAAATTACATATAAGAGGTTGTGAGGGGAATGGGAAAAAAACAAGGAGAGAAATGAATTACAGTAGATGGGGTAGACAGAGAAGATGGGAGGGGAGGGGAGGGGGGATAGTAGAGGATAGAAAAGGTAGCAGAATACAACAGTTACTATTATGTCATTATGTAAAAATGTGGATGTGTAACCGATGTGATTCTGCAATCTGTATTTGGGGTAAAAATGGGAGTTCATAACCCACTTGAATCTAATGTATGAAATATGATATGTCAAGAGCTTTGTAATGTTTTGAACAACCAATAAAAAAATAATAATAGTAAAAAAAGAAAATACATGAATATGGTCTCACAGGCAAGTTAAAAAACTGTAATAAATAACTATGATATAACATGGGCACTGCTATAAAGAGGGTTATCTAAAATGCCAACAGAGATAAAAAAATCAATTCAGTAAAGGATTTAGACTATGAATTTTAACCTATTCTTGTTTGGTTAAGAATTTGGGGATAAAAGGAGAGATACTGAGTCTAAAAGGAAACACCCTGCGAAAGTAACATAAGGCAATATGCAAGTACAGGGAGAAATGGCAAGAAATTATGAAACTCCATCCTTGCTCTACATGTAGTCCCTCTAAGTATTAACACACCCTATCAACAGGAGCTGTCTCTCCCTCTAGAGACAGCCTGCATCCTAACCCTTAAATGTGTATTCCTTGCTTACCACAAAAACATCCTTCTCTTGAGATCACCCCAATCTCCTTTGAATAGATATCTATTTTCCTAAATAAACTTGTCTATGCCTTTGAATGGCTTGTGCTACAATTCTTTGACATCAGGTATGCCAAAGATCCTGCTAGTCCTGAGCCAAGTTCCCCTTCTCTCTGGAAGTCCACCAATCCTTCTTTGGAGACACGGATGCTCTATTGATCATTTGAAATAAGTATCATTCCTGTAGAAGATTTACCAATATTTTCTCTAAATCAATCCAAGCATTTACATTTTCAGTCTTATAGTCAAAAAGCAAATCTTAACATACACATTTCCAATCTCTTAAATATTTTCATTATCAATCTTATTAGATATTTTAATACTAGTAAATCAAGTGATGATTTTAATGAGCTTTAATGTAGATTAGATTTCTAAAATTATGACCAAATAATGATTTTAAAGCACAAGGGATAAACAAGCATATTATTAATAAAATTTTACATAATAATATCACTATTAGTTTCTGTGTTAGGTATTTAGTTTTATAAAGTAAAAATCATGCATCCAAAGGTAAGATCAATTAAACTTTAAGAATATTGTATAGCTGCATAATATTTCTTTAGAATAAAGAAGTACTTCTTACCTTCTGGAGATGGAATGCATCCCAAGAAAATGAAAGGAGGGGGGAAAAAGAGTATTTAATTTCTATTTACAAAGCAACAACAATGTAAAAAAATAAACTGTCCCGTGCCCTCCCAGCAATAGTCATAATCCCTCCACCCCCATTTTACTATATAAAGCATTCATTTACTTAAAATTTACAATTTAGCCCAAATATTACTGTCTAAAAGTATAAGATTATACTCAGCTGAAGCATCTAATCCACTCCAGAAAATAGTTGCAAAATTTTTACTATGTGACAGAATAAACCTATTAGAGCAGTTTGGATGTGGATACGATGAGTATTTTCCATTCTTTAATATTCTTTCCATGCGTTTCAGTTTCCAGGAGCCATCATAAAGCCATCAGCTATGGACTCTAATGTTTATTAGCTTCCCTTTGATCCATAATAGAACTTGTCCCTCCAAATAACAATGGATAGGACTACTTTTTCTGTCAACACCCAAGTTACTGTTTCTGTGTTTTCAATATTAATTCTTTTTGACATCTCTACCAGCTTTGCAAGCTGGAAAGAAGACTACACTAGTGATCAGAAGATGCAGGCTTAACCACAAAGGTATCAACTAACCTTAGATAAACAGGATATCAACTTAATTTTAAAAAGTTCTTAATTCTTAAACAGAGCTCTCTAAAGAAACCACTTCAAGGCATTTCACCGGAACAATCAATCAAATGACCTACTCTACAGGGATAATGATTTCTGCCAACAAGTAATGAGAGTGTAGGCTTTATTTCCTTTGAATACTTTTCCATAATGGGGGGTGGGGATTAGGTACTTTGATTATTTTTTTGGTAGGAAGTAAAACAAAACATTTCACCTTAAATATCATAAGAGATTTTTTTCATAAATATTCTAATAAGATGAGAGACCCCCCAAAAAAGTTAATATTTCAGTATGCTTATTGGGCATGGTCTTTGATAGATGGTTCCCAGAGTTCTTTACAATCACAACCCTATAGGAGCTTACTGCTTTGGTTGGAACACTGAAACATGAGAAAAAATTACAAGGCAAGAATTTTGAGCTCTGCCAAACAGCAATACATAAAGATCTATTTAATCCAAAAAACAATTTGTAATTAGACAAAAATTAACCTAAAGCTGTTATGGCAGCACACAATGTTAAGTCTTATTTGAAAAATAATAAAGCCAATATACTAATCAGAAGAGCAAGCACATACTAAAAGAACAAAAACCACAAACAACAAGCCTAGATTGCTAGTTTCACTAAGCTAGTTGTATAACCCTTGCTAAATCTCAATCCATGAGTATGTATGTATATATTTTGGTGCAATACTAGAGATGGAACCCAGGGGTGCTCTACCACTGAACTATATCCCCAGCCTTTTTTATTTTGAGACAGGGTCCAAACTGATGAGGCTTGTCTGAACTTGTAATCTTCCTGCCTTAGCCTCCTGAGTAGCTGGAATTACAGGCATATGCCACTGTGCCCATCCTTATTTCTCCAATAATAAAATGAGATGTAAACTATAACAACTTTTTCCATCTGCAATATTATACAATTGAAATAATATGACTGATGTGGGGAAAATGTGGGAGAGGAAGAGATGAGGACTGCTACAGAGATTATCCATTTTGGAGTACTATTCAAAGGTATCATGTTATAATTAAATAGAGTTTAAGATGAATGCATAATGTGGTACATATATACAATGGAATATTACTCAGTCATAAAGAAGAATGAAATTATAGCATTTGTAGGTAAATGGATGGAACTGGAGGTTACCATACTAAGTAAAATAAGCCAATCCCAAAAAACCAAAGACCAAATGTTCTCTCTGATATGAAGATGCTGATCCACAATGGAGGCAGGGGGATTCACTGGATTAGACAGGGTGGAGTAGGGAAAGGTAGGGGAAATGGGAATGGGAAAGACAGTAGAATGAAACGGACCCAACTTTCTTATGTTCATATATGAATAGATGATCAGTATAACTCCACATCATTTACAACCAGAAGACTGGGAAGTTATACTTCATGCTTATATGATTCGTCAAAATACATTCTACGGTCATGTATAACTAAAAAAGAACAAATTTTAAAAACTTAAAAAAAAAAACAACTAGGTACAGTTTATTGGACAGTGCATGTTCAAGTCATCTATTTATTCTCAAACTTGTCAGTACTACTATATAACTCACACATAACTTTCTTTTTTGGATCATTTTTTAAAAAGAAGTATGCTTTTAAACACTCCTTGACTTGCAACAGAAGTAATAAATAAGTTAAAAAAAATCAACATAATTGAGAAGGTAGGAAGCTGGCCATACTCATTCATCAGCTACATAACTTACCATACCAATTTGTGTGTGAAGATTCAAATAAGTGCCACATCAAAATTATTAATTACATACCATGTAATCTTAGAATCATTTATGAAGGGTCTAATTCAGAAAATGCTCAATTTGTGGATGACAAAATTCACAATCTTCCTAATTCCTTTTCACTCCTACTCATAAATGAAAAATCAAGAAATAGTAAGACAACACTGTCTCAGGAACTGAATACTTCTTCCTTCCTAAAATATCTACTTAGCAGATATAAGAGTCAAGGTAATACTGTATAACTAATAAAATGAGCAAAACAGGTCACAAAAATTCCAATGGGGGAGAAAAGAATTAAAGATAATGACCATTTCAGAAGACTTGAAGTCCTCCTATATTTACTGTTGTAGAAACATATCTGCAGACATTAATGGCAGCCATAGTTGATGGACGGGGGGGAAAACCTGTTCTGCATCTCATCTATATAATTTATAGATAACGGTTAAGGAGTGGTAACCATAAAGGTTTAGCAGAAATGGCTTCAATATAGAAACTCTTGTTTTATATGCCACTCATTATGTGTGCTGTCAACAGTATTTGTTGAAAGTAAATGTTTAGTCGGTCTATTTTTGATAGGCCAAAATATCTAAATTGCATACAAATAGCCTCTGAATATTTATCTATTAGATAATGTCTGAATCATATAATGCCTGTGACTTACCTCAAAATAATGTGGAGTGGGAAGACTATCTATAATTTATGCTGCAGGATTTATACTTTTTAGTTTGAATTTTTTCAAAAGTAAAAAATTTACATTTTAAAAGAATATCTTTGGTACCTAACTTATAAACTTATGTTTGCAACAAATGTGTAGGCAGAATGACTCCTACTATTATGTATAATTATAGTATACTATTAAAAAATAAACTTAAAAAAACAAATGTGCAAGCATATCATTACAAAATGTAAAATTTTCCTAGAGTCTGTATCCCATCAGGAACTATTTACCTATTGACGTCCAAAATAGGTATTAGATACTAATCTATAAAGACAGATATTCTATGCCCAGATCACTGCTACTCTTTAATTGCTGACTTGATATTTTTAACAAAATCACTTCCCTATACTTGAATACCACTACTTACCCCTCAATGGGGCTCAAAACATTGGGTGGCAAAATAAACCCTCAATGAATATTTAATCAACCCCCTGACATTACCAGTTTAACCCTCAGATCTTCACTACAGTAAATTGCAGCTGTTCAATCAAAATACCTATAAATCATTTTTCTTTTCCTCCTTTATTTTACCTCCCATAGCCAAGCCATCAGAGTAATCCTGTGCATTCTCCCCAAAACATTCCATCTCAAATCTTTCTACTCTCTCCAGATCAAACTTATCTTCACCTAAGTCCAACCAGCACTATATCTTGCCTAATCTACAATAGCCTCATTAGTCGCCTTAATACCTTCAACTCCTGCCACAGCCTATTCTTCATACAGAAGTCTATAAAGCTTTACCTGAAATATAAGCCATACTACAAATCATCTTGTTAATCATCAGATGCAAATTTCCAAGGGAAGTATATTATTTCCCTATGAGGACCAGTAACTCATTTGGATAGGTCCATGTTTAAACATTTCATCTTGCCAATGGATTCAAACTACTTTTTGTATTCTAATCACATCCACTTAGCTTACTAATACAAAGAACAAAATTCCAAGTATAAACTTATTCACAGTAAGGTTCCAAATATGTAATTATAAAACAACTGTGGTAAATGACCTATACGAGACTATTTGTGATAATCCCCCTTACGCACTTCTAAAATGATTGACCAGGCTAGACCTCATGGCACATGTCTATAAACCCAGAGGGAGGCTGAGATAAGAGGAGCTCAAGTTCTAGGTCAGCCTTGGAAATGACTGACTGGTCTGAGCGGTGGCGCTCATTTGTAATTTCCAGCAACCTGGGAAGCCTCATGAGACAGGAAATCACAAGTTTGAAGCAAGCCTTAGCAAATTAGTGATAACTTGTCTAAAAATTATTTACAGTGGCAAAGCACACCTGTGTTCAATTCCTAGTGCCACAAAAATGAATGAATGAAATGACTGGCTAACAAAAGCTACACCCCAAAATCTACAATCCTATTCTAAACAAAACAAGAACACAAATCATTCTGATCCATAATTTGTGGTTTGATGGTGGAAGGCTCCAAGAATTTCAAGCTTAATCCAACTTTATGATTTAAAATGAAATTTCTATCCAATGATAATTTTATTTTTTCAAAAAAGGAAACTGTCGGGCTGGGGATGTGGCTCAAGCAGTATCGCGCTCGGCCCGGGTTCGATCCTCAGCACCACATACAAAAAAAAGATGTTGTGTCTGCCGAAAACTAAAAAATAAATATTAAAAAATTCTCTCTCTTTTAAAAAAAAAAAAAAAGGAAACTGTCTAGCTAAAACCAGATATAAAAAAGGGTACAAAAAATCTTTAAAGGTTCGACCAGTACTTCAAATTTGGAATATATAACTCCTGTTGAAGAGCTCAACCCTAGGGAATTTTGCCATGTCACTGTTGGGATTTATTTAAGAGACATGACAGGCTACAGTTTAGCCATAGAAACTGAACATGGAGGTATCTTTAAACTGAACATGAGGTGTATTTAAAAAGTTTTTCAACAA